TTTCTTCTAAATGGAGGAATGAGGTGCAGCTTTTTCAGCTTTTATTTAAGTGATTTCTTGGTTATGCAGGTCTGGCAGTAATCAGGTCTGAGTGTAGCTGGTGAAACTGAATCCAGAAAATGTAGTAATTTACAGTGAATTCATTATTTAGCAAGATTTTTATTTTAAGTTTTAAATAGGACCTGGCCGGTTTTCACATATTAAGTGAAAATCATCTGTATTTCTGTGGTTATTAAAAATTGTTTCATGATCTGAAAAATCATCATTTCATTCAAATGTTTTGAATCAAATATCCTATTTTTTTCAAACTCAGTTTGACTGAGTTGTTTCATCAGAAAATGCCACTCACAATATGGCTTCACCACTGCTGTTTTCATGTTTACTCTTGTGTCTAAATCTGCTACAGCTATCTGGCATGCTAGTGTTAGCATGCTAGCTTATGATACTGTTTTTGTTGATTTTGGCATGTAATATTCTGTTGGCATCACAGACAATGTCAGCTTCTTTAAGCTAATATTAATATGCCACTCACAATATGGCTACACCACTGGCATACTCATGAAGTTTACTCTTTTGTTTCTATATTTGTTATTGCTAGCTAACATAGTAGTGCTAGCATTCCTTCTAGTGATGCCGTTTTTATTGATTTTTGTATGTAATATGTTGCTAGAATCACAAATAGCAGTAGCTACTTTAAGCTAACTTGCTACCAGTAGCATTGTAGCTTATTGTTTCTCTGTTTAGATCTAAAAACACAGATCAGATTTAAATGTTTTGTCTTTAACTTTCTGCCTTAATTTAACTTGGCATGCTTCTAAAGTGTTTTTTCAAAACATATATTTAAAACTTGTTGCTCTTATGATGCTAATTTATGCTCTGCAACAGCTTTTTCTGCTTCGGTTCAGCTTCTTTTGCAGTTTTGTTTGTTGTATTTTTTCAGTATGTTATGTAATTAATTTATATGCTTTGATTTTCTGTCACTTAGTAAATTTCCCCACTAAGGGACAAAGAAGGTTATTTCTATTCTACCTTAATATTAATAATTTTACCTCTAATTTTGAAGCTTATCTACTTTTATCAAATGTCCTTCTCCCATCTATAATATTTGAGGTTTTTAAACTGCTTGAAGGTTTCCTGAACATATTTCTGAGTTTCCTCTGCTGTTGTGCACCTGTCACTTTCACGACTCGCCGTCTCCCTGCGTGGCCGAAAGTCCTGCAAGACCAGTTCTCCCATCAATGACTCCCTTTTAAGAATCAGGAGAGCGGCGCGGCAGGACAGACCACCTTTATCTGGCGCTCTCAGGACTCCCATTCATGCGCCGGAGGGGGGAAAACTATCTGCATTTACACACACATGCAAACAGAGTGGGAAAAGTTTGTGTTTGTGTGTGTACCAGCTAAATTAACCTCCATCAGCGAGCGGAAAAACATCTCATTTTATCACTTTTTATAGTGCGTAACAGTTTCCTTTGCATCTACAACTTTGCACACATCTTTATTTATAGTTAAATTTAATTTCACAACTATTTTAATTTGTGTTGTTTCTATTTTGTACTGATTGCATGTGTGTCTGCCTTTACACCAGGACCAGAAAACAGCATCTTCTGGTTTCATTGATACTTTTGTCTTATGAATGCAGAAATGTCTTCAAACAAGAGATGAGTCATAACCGTCTCTGCATTTCTGCGCCGTTTCTGGGTTATGTGGCCTGGAATACACACAGCTATTTACGTTGAATAAACACACGTACACACACACGTAAATAGTAAGTACATTTTATTTATACTGCATCTTTCACAGGTCAAAAACCCACAAAGTGCTTTACAATCAAAACAAACCTAAAAAAATACAGAAAAATGTTTTGAAAACAGAAAACATTCAGCAGCAGAAAGCTGGCCTGGATAAATGAGTCTTCACCTGAAAACTGGAAGTGACCTATTTGATTTTAAATCTTTAGGTGGCCTGGAATCTGCCTGAGTCAAAACAAGAAAATGTATGTATTCATGAAAACAGGCAAAAATATGAATTTTTTCACATTAATTCCAATTTAGCCCCAAATTAGCAACCTGTCCCACTTATTTAACATGTTAAAATGGTATCCAATAGCAACGGTGATTGTAATTCCACCTTTAATCCTAATCTACACCGAGGTTTAGGCCAAAATGTTGCATATTATTTACCATAAGCTTTTAAGAACAAATTTATCATGAAAATCTGAGAGAAAAGTCAAATTCCTTATTTATGTGCACAAAACTCTCTTTATACACTGCAAAAAACACAAAATCATACCAAGTATTTTTGTCTGATTTCTAGTGTAAATATATTCAAATATTTGAAATAAGACAAGACTAATTTACAAGTAGCTTTTCATTGAGATGAAGGAGATTAAATCAATAATTCATTACTATTAGTCAAACAAAAATAGGTTATTTCACTTATAAAAAGGGAAAACATGTTTTTATGAGTGACCAAATCTGGAACTAGTACTTTACCAGTATTCAACATTTTCTTTACTTACTTTATTTATCTTGTTGTAAAGTTACTTGTTAGTTTTTTCTTGTTTCACTTCAACTAAGATATTTGCACTATGGACAAAAATTATTGGTCAGATGTTGAGTTTTTGCAGTGTAGCTCTTAAATTTAGCATCTTTTTCCTCCTTCATATCAAACTCAGGCCCTGCTGGGTTATTTTCTAAGAAATACTGGATTTTTTAAAATTGTTTTTCTGAGAAAGAATACAGTACACTAAAAAACACAACATTTACAAAGTGTTTCTGTTCTAGCTTTTAGTCCAAATATACATTTGAAATACAAAAAACTAAATATAAGTAACGTTTAGCAAAATATAGGAGATTATTTTAAGTCAATAATTCCTTAATATTGATGAATATTGGCAGATTATTTCACTTATAAGACATTTTCCCATGTTATAAGTGAAATAATCTGCCGATAGAACTATCCCTTTTTCATCAATATAAAGACTTAAAACAATCCTCTATGTTTTGCTGAAATTTACTTTTATGTTAGTTTGTCTTATTTCAAGTGTACTAAGATACTTGCAGTAGAAACTAGACCAGAAACACTTGGTAAGATTTTGTGTTTTTGCAGTATATTTGCCACTTTCTGAGTCTCTCAGTTTCTCGGTGTTTTACTTCTCTGCCTCTAAGCCTTCCAGGCTTTTTTCCTGCTCACAACATCAGAAGTTTGTAGTAGAAACAAGATGATCCAACACAATGTGCCCTTTGTGTTGATTCAACTGCAGAGTAAAAGGAGCCATTTGAACCGGAGTAACGGGGAAAAAAAATTAGAACAGAAAAGTTTCTGTCTAAAGTTATTTTTTCATGTCCAGCGTTTAAAGATCAACACTTTTTGAAGACGCTCGTCATTACTTGGAAATCTAAATCAACCTTCACGTTTACACACGTGCAAAGCTGGATAGTAACTAGTTACATTTACTTAATTACATTTACTTCACTAACTTTTTTTTTTTTTGACAAAATGTACTTTTAGGAGTATTTCTACTCTTAGTTGAGTAAAATTTCTGGATTTTCTACCGACTGAATGAAAAACAAACGTGTTTTAACCAAACATTCACAAGACTCACACCTGCAGTTTCTGTTAACGTTTCATAAGTTTTTTATTTTAACAATTTGATTTGGTAATACTTTCTTTTGCCTGATTTTGTTATTTTTGTTGTTTATATAAATTATTGTAATTTTTGTCCTAAAAATACCAAAATTTCCACTTTTTGTCCGTCTGATGATGTAATTTCCACTTATGAATTGATTAATTTGATCAGTTGCCTATATTATTTTTACTTGACTAAAATAAGCTAAAAGTACTTCTACTTTTACTTGAGTATTTGAAACAAAACACATAAAAACTTGAAAACTGAGAATCTTCAGACACGTTTCCTTTGAGACAATAAAACATTTCTTAAGCAAAATGCATATTTACATTTCAAGCTTAGAAAGTTAAACATTTATCATGTAATCTGATTTGACTTTTTAAAAATTAACAGGACTAATTTATTTATAATGTAAACAAAAATCTTTTTAAAATATCAGCTAAAAAAACACAAAAACCTGTTTAAATTTGTATTTTCGATCCTTGACGCCTTCAGAAGCTTAAAGAAGTTAAAGAAAACTGAGGAAGGATTTCATCACACCTTCTCGCATGCAGAGAAATCCCGTCTGACATCTTTGTCACTTAGGAAGAAAACCTGTCGGCTCTTTCTGTCGCCAAAACTCACACTTCCAGTTTAAATCCCTTTATCCTCTGCAGTAGTTAGTTAAGCAAACAGCAGCTTTTTTCTCCTTCACAGGAAAAATCTATGAACTCATTCATTCATTCATTGAGTTAGCAGGGAAGCTAATGCTAATTTCACCAGCATGCTAACTCACATTTACTAAAATGTTTTTTTTTTCTGTTTTATTGATAAAAGTTGTAATTTCTTATGTCAGCAAGTAAAATGTGACTTAATGTGACAAAAATAGTTACAGCAGAAGGAAAGATTGTGCCGTTCACCAAGATAAGTTCAAACTCTTTACTGATTACTTTTTGCAGAGATAATAGATTAAAATTTGCTTAATTAGATCATTTAATGCAGCAGTGTGCACTTGAATTGTCTCCCTGGCCTTAGCTTGACATTTTAAACAGCTTACTTACATTTTGCTTTTTAAAATTGCTCTTAGTTTGGCAATTGATTTATCTAAGTAGCATTTTGTAACCCATGACTTCACCATGATGTTTGTCTGCAGGGTCCAAAACAGCAAAAGTAAAGACAAACAGGAGGACAACGGCCTAAACCTGGTTTCCTGGTGAGAAAAGAAACCTTCTATTATGTTAATCATGCAATAAATCAATTAGTCACTTGATAAGCTGAAACAAACTCATGGTGATGTGCTCCATCTTCCTGGTTTTAGTCAGAACGCCAGCAGCAGTGTTCTGGATCAGCTGCAGCTGGATGATTGATTTTTTTTAGACATAAAAGTGAAGAAACTGTTCAGTAATCAATGTGACTAAAGATAAACGCATGAACAAGTTTGTCCAGGACGTGCTGAGGCATTAGACCTCTAATTCTGGAAATGTTCTTCAGGTGATAAAAGGCTGGCTTTGTAACCATCTTTATCCTGCTATGAAAGTTCATGTCTGAATCTGTCAACCAGATTTTGGGCCTTTTTCAGAAATCTTATAACTGCTTAAAAATAAAAACAACATGGAGTAAAAACTGGATGAAACAGTTTTCACTCCATGTTACCAGTTTGGCTCCAATTTTTTAAGACTTGATTTCTGAACAGAATCAGAAAAAAATCACCCAAAACTTAAGTCACGTTTGTAACAGTTCAGGCTGTAACCCAGGCAGCATTCGGGTTGAATTTCACTCATCTGCTGATTCATGAATCTGAATGGTCCTCAGGTCTCACTGACCCACATTTTTCACCTAAAAGATGACTTTGTGTGCTCTCAGACTCGATAAGGTGTCGCAGGTGGTCACGTTGCCGCTGCAGTGTGACCGCAGTCCAAGCACGACACTGTAACACTCTGTGTACTGTACTGACGCTGTAATGCCTGGAAGCCCTTAATCTGCAAACAGAAACCGTACACACAGTTCTCATGTGACCTGGAAACTGCCCACGCTAATGTAAGAAATGAAAGTAAATGGAGTTAAACAGCTTATAGATGTATTTGTTTTACCTGAATGGTTTGCGCTAGCATGTTGAAGCATTTAAGTTTGTTTCTGCAGGCAGAAATGCGTTGGTGCCATAAAACAGAGTATAGTTTGTGCATCTACTGGCGCTGAGGGCTTCCTTTCACGTTACCAAAAACTGTAAATTCCTCCAAATGGTAAACATCCCTACCAGCTGAATTACTGCTGTGTCTGTGTGCACATAAATCTGGTGAGTCATGAGTGGGTGATGTTTCGTCCAGGCGTGTGAGTGTGTTTGTGTGTCATTAAACTACCTGAGGAGCGCAGAGGGGAACATCTGGAAACGAGGCTGCAGCTTCTGTCAGTGGCGTCAAACCAGCAGCTACTGGTTTTTAAACTCTGTCTGCGAATGCCGCTTTTCACACCGGTGAAAATGTGGGAAATGTCTTAAAATAAGAATACTTGGGTGAAAGAAGGAGATAAAATCAGTAAAAAACAAAAAAATTCTCTAAATTACAAATCTGATGTCCTTAAAGGGCCAGAATGTACTGATAAAACCCATTAAACTGTTAAAATATTTACTCTTTTATAATATATATATATATATATATATATATATATATATATATATATATATATATACATATATATATATATATATAGATATTAGTTCACCTCGATAATGCACAATATCCACCCAAGAAGTGTATGGGTGAAAAAGAAATCCAGATTTTTATAAAGTTAAATTATTATAAACAAAAAAATTTATGAATTGATAAAACTTCAGCCTCAGAAGTGTAAACCCTCCTTTGGCCCCTGATCCTGTTATCAGCTGTAGTTTTCCTGTTTTTTCCTGGGAATGAGGCCACGCTCCCAGCTGGGAGCTTCTGCTCAGCAGATTAAATATTCACTTTCTCCAACGAGTGCAGAAAGTTTAGTTTGCATAAGAAATGTCTTGGTGTCAAGGCACTGTTTCAAGCAGACTTAAATCATCTTCAGTTTTTCTCCATCTTTGATTGAAGTAATTTTCTTTCTTTTGTCATGATGGTGTCTGGTAGCGCTAACAGCTAAAGAGGAAATCTTCCAAATGAATATGGCTTCAACCAAACTAATTATTTCCATTTCATTTTTTATTTAATTCAGTCATTAATAAATGTGAATAGTTTATCAAATAAAAGAAATCATGAATAAAAAGGAGCAGAACAAAGTATAAACTTATAATATTTTCACACCTGATAGTTCGATAGATTCGGTTCGATTGGGGACCAAAATTGCAACATTTGTTGCATTTTCGTTCACTTTCACACTGCATTGTGTCCAACGATTTGAAAGACCTGTTCCCCTTCTCGCCTGTGGGGGCGCTGCACCAAGAACCACTGAAGGAAACGTCAGATTTTAGCAGTTGTATGATTTCTCTTTTGTTTTTGGCAAAAGACCATGAGTCGTTTCTCCTATTAGTGCTAGACTCTCATCTCTGCTTTGGTTTTATTTACCCAGGATGCCCTGCGCTTTAGTCCACTTCCTGCTTTTGGAGCGGTGTGCAATCTGCATTCACACCACACCAGAGTTCATTTAACCAAACCAAGAACGAGGTTTGTAGATGGGCCACAGTTCGCTTTTTTGGTCCACACCAGAGTTTGATTGCGCGTTCACACCTCCCCAAACGAACCGGTGTTTCTAACAAAAAATACTAGAGTTTGATTAAAGTGGATTAAACAGGGCTGGTGTGAATGAACCATTTGAACTACATTTCAAATATACATCTTATTTAAATTCTTATTTCTTCATATTTGCTGTAGTTTTATAAAACCAGACAGGAGCTGATTCTTCTTGCAGTGGGACTGCAGTGGTAAAAATAGCTGATTACTCTGAGAACACTTTTAGATTAGTTCTGAACTCTTCAACACTGAATAAATAGTTTGCAAAGACTTCTCAAAGTTTAAATAAGCAGAAATATTTGTCTCAACAAAGGTATAATTGTTCCCGTTTTAACAATACGGTGCTTTAAAGTGAAATTTGACGTCAGCCTGCTGGTTTCCACTGAGGTATCATGGGAAATAGGTTTGTCTCCAAGCATCACATGCTGCTTCATACACTCAGGTCCTCTTGCAGCTTAGTCACATCACTGTGCATTCAGCTTCTCGGTGAAAACAACACCACATCCATTCAGCTTTTATCAGTACATCATCAGTTCGGGGAACACATGGTGTTCCTCATAGTGCCATGTCCTCACTCGATCATGTTTCCCACTCTCGGTTTCTCTCGACACCCATAGAAAGCTTGTAACCAACAGCTAAAAAGCTTTTCTTATATTATTAGACATGACTTACGACATGTTTAAGCCGTAAAGACAGACTTTAAGCTCCTGCCTCCCCGTTTCTGAACGAGATGTGTGTCCGAACATGTGCTTCATGTTTCACTTTTGGATTGTTTTTGTTGGTTTTGGTTGAGTGTTTGCGTGTGAGCCAGAGAGACCGTCTGTTTGCTTTCTGTGGTTTTCCTCGGGCTGCGGAGAGCTTGCTTCTTCCACTGTCATTCCAGCAGGCCCGGTGGCAAACTTTCAGAGTGTGAGAGCAATTTATTTTCGACTCGGAGGGAAATCAGATTTAGGGAGGTCAGACAACCTGGCAGTGATGTTGACTATCTTGTTTTCCTTTTAATTTTATTTAAATGTTTCCAGTCATGGACTGACCGAGACAGAATCCTGACCTGAATGTGATAAGAAACCAAGAAGGCCTTCCCTAAAAGATGGGCCATAAGCAAAACAGTTGGTCAGATTATTGATTATTGAGCATAAATAAGTTCTCAATGGATGTCTTACCTTTCCTGCATTCACTCCCCTCTCAAATTACTGTTCAACTAGAAGCAAAAATAATAATGAAAATGGCTGCAAACACAGGTGCAATTACACAAACGTGCATCTTTGAAAAGCAAAAGTAGAGCCTCCTGCAAAAACAAGAAAGCGGTTTCTGGATGGTAAGCCAACAACAAATCAGTTGTCTTTTCCAGCAGCCATTGTACAGCACATAAATAAAACAGTTGACCAAACATGCTGGAGCTCTGCTGGGGTTGCTAGGTAACGTGTGGAACCCTGATGTGGTTGCTAGGTAACGGAGCATGTGACTTAACATTCAGGAGGTTTTTGAAACTGCTCGTTTTCCAGACACCAGAAAACATTAACTTATTACCAAAAAAATGTCTGGGTGTTTCTTTGAAGCAGTATAAACCCAAATGAAAAAACAAAAACATGAAAATGTGAATTTTGCTCAATAGATGGCCTTTAAGTGTTAAGCTCTTCCAATGATGTTATTTAAGCTGCTCTATTGTTGTCTGAATATAATTAGTCTTTAAGGTCAGAAGAGGGTTATATCCCAGAACAGCGCCGCCATATTTTAGTGGTTAGGCTAAACCCCGAAGAGACGAGGCAGAACTTCAAGGTTTCGGGTCAGCAAGGTGACGCGGACCGTCACTCGAGCAGGTGGGAAAGAGGCCTGGTGTGTTTGTGCATGTGTGTTAGAGGTCTAACAGGTCAGCGGGTTGCTGTCTAGATTCGTTCATGCTGGTGTTTAGCTACGCAGCCGTTGCAGGCGCTGAGGGCTTCACCATGACAGCTGCTAATCCAACCCGCTGGCCTCAGGAGCGACTGGAAACCAGGGAGCCTCAGCCTGTTGGTGCATGTGCGATTGTGTCGTTTTTACGTACATGCTGGAGCCTGAAATAAGTGTAAGCTGACACAGCAAAGTGCTCTTAATTAGTGTGCGGTTATTCTTGTTTTTCCCACAGGAGAGGAAAGAAAACATACGATACAGCTGAGCTATAATGTGAGCAGGATAAACAACGAGGAAAAATGGAGCAAAATCTGTTTCAGGGCCACAAACATGAAGGTTATCAGTTTTACATTTGCTGTAATGTTTTCAAAATCCTGGACAAGCAGAAACAAACGTCTAATACAGAGCTATGTTTGTAATCGATTAATCAATTATTCTGATGATTAATCGAGTAATCAAATAAAAAATTAATTTAATTTAATTAAACCACTTAAGCCTTTTTTCATATAATATCAGAAATACATTAAAAATATGCAAATAAATAAACTATTCAATTACTTTGTTAAATAAGAAAAAAAAACATTCTATAGCCTAAAATGCAGTTACACAGCATTTCTTTTAGTGAATTTGAACTGGATGATGCTAAAACTGCAACTTGAGGAGTTTTGGCTAAAACAATATTTAAAGAAAAAAATGTTTTTATCTTAAATGCTAAATGTATCTATTTTTGTAGAGTTTTGGCTTAATTACTAATATGAATACATTGGCTTTTTTCCCACCAAATGCTCTTTTTGAGTTCGTATACTCCAATTAACGATTAGTAGTTTACTGAAATAGTTTATTATTTCATGAATCGATCCATCACCACTAATCAGAGGAATCATTTCAGCCCTAATCTCTAATATTTCTTTAATTTTGTTTCTCTCTACCGTTCCACTGAGAGGATAAAACAAATTTAAGTTGTTTCTTCCCACTGGTAAAACTTAAACTTTTCTCTGATTCTTTAAACATAGCTTCCTCAGTAAGATACTTACTGCTCATAACTACCCCTTAAAAACCCGATCCTTAATTTCATTTGATTCTTTTAGAGTTTAGAAACACATCACCTCAGTAGAATCACTCTGTTTTCTGCAACATTATTCTTAAAATGACTGTTTTCACTTGGCCAATCATCAAATGATGAGACTCTCCTAACTAGACAGGAACTTTAAAAAACAAGTTTTGTTTATAACCTCATGAAAGTTAGCAGTACAGAAGCTTTTGCGTCAGTCTCGTTTCATATATTTGATGTGTGTGAAATCTGTCATTAGGTTCCTAGAATTATTATATGGGACAACTCAATCTGATGCCAGGAAAACAGCTTCTAAGAAAGCTGATAGGTGAGTTGGTAGTTAGGCAATCATAAATATTTGCTTTTCAAAGCTTCCTGAAGGAACTGAAACATTTATGAAATCTAAATATTTACATTCATCACCTCTTATCGTCATTTAACAAAACACACAACAGAATACATTGACTTTTTTCCAAAGCAAAGATGAAGTCAACATAAAAATATTAGTGTGAAATATTAAGCACAAGCCTGCAGTGTCAGCTGATTTTTTTTAAGTGAAAGCAGCAGCTGATTCAATGCAGTGAACTATCATCATCAGTTTGATCTGCGCTATAACCGCAGGCAACAAGAGGGATCCCACAGGAGCAACTGTGGCTGGCAATCAATCTGGGAGAAGCTAATAGCCTGTTTTCAAACCAATACAGGTTTATTTTTATAGCATTTTTAATCAAAGCAATCTGAAAAAGAAAAATAAGGATAAAAAATATTCTGCATTATTCCCAAAGCTCCACCTCAGACTCTTCAGTCTGACATTAGCATGCTAACTGTTGACGTTTATGACTGCAACCAAGACAGAAAAGACAGTTTTAAATGTTTGCTTCTTATCTTAAAGCTGCAGTATGTCAAT